GATGATGATGACATTATCAATAATAGTTGTGACAATAATAGTAGTAGTGGTGGTAATATTATTAATAAGTGATGGTAATAATAGTAGTTGTTGTTGTAGTTTGTAGAGGTAACAATACTGTTGCTGCTACTACTATTATTACAAATAATAATAATAATAATAATAATAATAATAATAATATGAGAGATAAGAAGATGAAGAATAATAATGATGATTATAAAAATATAATAATAATTATTGTGATAATTGTGATAACAACAACAACAATAATGATGATGATGATTGTGGTGTTGGTTGTTATAATAATAATAATAATAAAGCTAATATTAATAATGATAATATTAGCAATAATTGTGGTGGTGGTGATAACAACAACAACAACAACAACAAACAACAATAGTGGTTAAAATGATAATAATAATAATAATATTATTACTTATTAATAATAGTAATTATAGTAATTTTGATTCATATTTTTTGAATTGTTATTTTTTAAAATTCTTTTGTATGATGATATTTTTTTCTTTCAATTTCATCCTTTAATATATGTATCTTTTTCTTCTTCTAGAATTGGACTTCTTCATTTTTCTAGATTTAATGTTTCAAATTTAATAACTCGAGTCACTTGTTTAAAAAAATTAACACATTTTAAAAAAAAATATTTAAAATTCTTTTTATTTTTATTCAAGTTATTCTAGTCACATAATTTAAATCATGTGTTTGACAAGATTTCTCATGTTAAATTGACACTAATTAGCTTTTACATATGTGTCATAAACAATTTTTATATTTGTTTTACTTGTTTTCAGTACTTAAACATTGTTTTTTATCCAAAAAATTATCTAACCCTGTGACGAAGCACGAATAAGAAGGCTAGTATACACTATTACTTAAAATATGTTTGTTTTTTTGGTTGAGATTCTAAAAAAATTAGGTTTATAAAAATCACTTTTAATTCTAATTGGTTTGATTTAAATAGATGTTTGGTTAAAATTATTATTCAACTAAATTTTCTTTGATTAAAATTGTGATTCAAATTGATGTTGTAAATGGAATAGCCAAAAAGTACATAAAATAAATACTTATTGTGCATTGTATTTTGCATTGTATTTTGAGTACATTGACCAAAAAGAAAATCATTAATTTTATTATTCTATTAAACTTGTTGCAATATCATTAGATATATAATCCATATATGAAGGCTTATGAGATAAATGTGTTTGTAAACATGGACAATATTGGTTAAGATATCATTAGAAATAAAATCAAGATATCAACCAAACTCAATAAATACCATATCTTGTTAAGATTTTCTTCTTATATAATTATATATTGTCATATATGTAAGGACTGTGTTTTATAAAAAAACACATGCTTGTGCTATAAATTTTTTTATATTTTTTTTCACTCTCCAAACATAGATTCTATTATACAATGTATTGAATAATAAACATGATTGAATATCTTCCCTTAATAGCACTTAATATCCTGTTGTTCTCACAATCCAATAACACATTGTCTGTGTCCTTAGCATTGAACGATAATAAGTAAAAATTACAAAAAAATCCCTTCAATCTTGCCATGAAAAAACTGCAAAGCATCTCACTTTTTCTCTCATTGTAGATTTTAATATAATCATGTTTGACAAGAAATTATCCAACCCAACAAGACTATTTATAGTTTTTACTTAAAAGATATTCTCTTTAATCTCTCCTTAAATAGATACTATTAAAGACTATATTTATTAAGTATTTAGTTTTAGAGTTTTGTAAGGATCTAATAATTTTATTTTTTTTATTTTTTATTTACATTCATCAATTTCTAATATGTTGCTGGGTTATCATTGTTTTTCTTTAATTTTGTGTGTTTGTTGTTAAATTTTGTTTTGACTTTTAGGATTGGGTTTCAAGTTTTTGTTGGATTGATGATGAATTCTTGTCAATGTTTGAATTTTGAGTTGAGATTGAATATAAGTTTTAGCTATTTTAGGTTTTGGAATATGAGCTCATTTTATGAAATTTGAATGCTAGAAAAGCACTGAGGTGTCTAAACTAATTTCAATACTGAAAGTCTTGAAGTATCAAATTTTTCTTCAATCCATTACTCTAAAAAGAGGATTTAAGTAGTCTCAATTTAAAATAATTATGGATGAACAAGACTAGAGAATGGTGAAGGTAACACAAAGGAAGAGGATGGAGAAAATATTAAGGTATTTTGATCAATATAAAAACAACAGTTCTTTTCTCTAGAGACAAGGGTTGTCAATAGAGAAAAAACTTGAAGTTGAAACTCAATAAAAGCAAAGTACATTTGCAATAGTAGTTGAACCCCACTTCAATGGTCTCATATTCACAAAATTATGGTTTAATATTAACTAAACACTTTTTATTTATGATCTGGTCGCCTGCCACAAAACAAAAAAATAAATAAATCTTAAGCAAATCAATGAGATAATAATATAATAATATCGAATGATGATGGAACGATGACTGTGGGCTCTCCCAAGAATAAAAAAATAAAAAAAATATTTGGACGGGATGTACCTGTGCCGTACTCAGAAAAGCACGAACTTGCCACTTGAGAAGATAGCTTCGATGATCCACATAGACGTATTCCTCTAATAGGGACTCCACGAGATATCTCATTTTTAGGGGAAGGTCGTTTCTGCCACCATATGTATAAACCACCACATGCAAGAAAGAACCTTCAACTTCTTTTTTCTACAAACAGAGGACTTTAGCTCAAACTAGTAGTTAATTTGTAGTTTGAGCGGTAGAAATTAATATTGGAATGGATTTCGACCTTGATGAATTGCTGAGTTCTGGTATTGGTAGTTATAATTTTGAGTGGTTGTTGACGTTTCTAAAGGGTATGATAAAGCCACTGGCGGCTACAGCAGTGGTGCTCATGGCGGTGATTCTGTCCTATATGCAAAAGCTTGGTTTGGAGGGAGAGATGGTGTACTCCATCGTTAGAGCCTTTCTTCAGCTATCTGTTATTGGGTTTGTTTTGCAGTTCATTTTCAGTCAGGACCACGCTGTCTGGATCATCCTTGCTTACATGTTCATGGTTCGTATTAATTTATTTTTATTTCTCTTCTAGATTAATATTTTTAACTTGCAATTTCTGTATATGTTAGCTTGGTAAGAAAGTTAAACCAGAAAGGAAACAGCCAAAGGGTTGTGTGAATTCCTCGTTTCTGTTTTGATATTTATTTATTTATTTACTCCTTTTCTCATTAACGAACAGAGCTTAATTCAGTTTGAATATATTTTTTCTGCATTAATTGATTATTTGTATGTCTCGGATTTGTTTTGATTTCTTTTCGAGCGGCCTTTCCATAATACAGCAGACATGTGATTTTAGCTCATACAGAAGAACATAGAGAGAGAGAAGAAAAGAGGTATTATTGGAGACAAAAACATGGAATTTCTAAGCCATTTTTGTTAAGCCTTGATTTTTCTCTCAACGAACAATCCTCGCTACAAACCTAGAATTGTCTGCATGCTGACAGCAACAGAGCACAGGCTTTCCGCTTTGTTATTTACTCTATAATGTTGGTTTTCAACTCTACCGTCGATAAACTTGGCTGCCTGCACCTCACAACTTGCAATTGTCAAGAAAATCTTGATCTGTAATGGCTTTTTATCCCTGAAAATCCCAACAAGCCGTCTCAATCACGTGATTCTTTTTTCTAGATTATAATTATAGGAGTTTGGCAACTGATGCAAGACTTCAACGAGGCTTCTCTCTCAAATTATTTTTCCTAGTTCTTGACATTATTATTGAACCCCCTGCAGGTCTCTGTCGCTGGATATACAGCAGGACAACGTGCCAAACATGTTCCTAGAGGAAAATTGGTGGCTGGTGCTTCTATCCTTGCTGGTACAGCAGTGACACTGTTCCTGCTCGTTGTATTGAACGTTTTCCCCTTCACTCCACGGTACATCATTCCCGTTGCAGGCATGATGGTTGGAAATGCAATGACAGTTACTGGAGTTACAATGAAAAGACTCCGCGATGATATCAAAGTCCAAATGAACCTGGTATGTTAAAGACAAATCATTACCAAGACTTCACCATTTTACGACCTATTTGTTTAGAGGAGATGCATGGGACTCGGTCTTCGTGTTAGGATTGCACGCACGTGTTCTTATATGCAAGGTGGATACCGCCTTTGACCCAAAAAGCCTTAGGGGTTGAGAGTCAATCTTGGATAAAAATACCTCCATTTCTCCATTCGTTTTCGTTGTAGGATATTTTCAACTTTTATGCGAACCCAACATGTCATTTATTGCTAAGAGTAATTAGTCCAATTCTCATTCATTTTGTTGTTCGTTAACAATTTCCATGGCTTAATTATTCGAATTGGGTGGTTTCTGTGGTAGGTAGAGACAGCATTGGCACTTGGTGCAACACCACGTCAAGCTACACTTCAACAAGTGAAAAGGGCTCTTGTTATTGCGCTTTCTCCTGTACTGGACAATGCCAAAACTGTGGGTCTCATTTCACTTCCAGGAGCAATGACTGGGCTTATCATGGGAGGGGCTTCTCCACTAGAAGCAATTCAATTGCAAATTGTGGTGATGAACATGCTCATTGGTGCATCAACTGTTAGTAGCATTATGTCAACTTATCTTTGTTGGCCTGCTTTCTTCACCAAAGCTTATCAATTAGAAACGAAGGTATTCTCTACTGATTGAGGTTTATTGATACCTCCTGCGTATGTAACACTTGAAATGGCAAGGGAGCAGTATCAATATCTGAAAAATCTACTATGTGATAGTTTCTGATTGTACAAGGCTTAATGCGCAAATGAAATGGTAACACAGTGCATCCTTGTGGTGCACACTTGAAGCGTTATTGCATTATATGGGTATGGGATCGTATGATTTGAATTACACCACAGCTTCTAGCCTACAGTTTTATCTGAAATCATTAATTAGCAATGGAAATGCCAAGAAAGTGTAGAACACTAATAATCATTTACCCTTAGTTGAATTGTTTGCTAGGATTATATCTATAGATTTGTATTTATTTTTAATCGTTTGGCCGTGTCATGACTGAGGTGTTATGAAGCAAGCATGAGGTTGGCTGGTTAATGGTGATGCTAGTTTTCTCCATCCTTTCCTCATCTTTTCCCACCCTAAAAGCCAACACAATCACCTATAAGATGTACCTGCATAAGGGGAGGGGGACTTGGCTAAATCTACTTAGAGCAAAGTGATAAAGAGCAACTTGTGCAAGTAGGCAACCACCCATGTGTGATTAGAGAATTAACATGGACCGGTTCAGCCTGCCTAGTCTCGGATTCACCATAATACTGAACCGTTCGCGCTTTTCAAGCATCCCTATTGAGAATCAAAGAGATTTTCATTGGTGTTTTTCCGAGTCCAGGGTGATTGGCAGAACCTGTACTATAATCCTGATAAAATCTCATTTTGTATCCAAATCAAGCAAAATTGGCCGTCAAAGACTCAAAGGACGCGATTTATAATTCTCATTGCCAGCAGATCAGAAGTCAGAACACAAAAAAGAAAGAAGGAAAACACAACGGAGAAAAGCTGTGGATGGGCTATATGTTTATTACATGCTTTATATCTTATACTCTTATATGGAGGAATACATATAACTCGCAAGGTAACCAGGCAGTGTGCCTGTGTAGATGGTTAGAATGCATATTCTCAATATTGCCATGGCAGTGTCATACATTGTTAAGGTTAAATTTAGGAGGGGTCAAATAAGCTGGATGCCCAGTGGTGCCTGAGATGAAATCCCTGTGATTAGTCGTAATCGTGGTGATCCCCGTGGGGGCATGCGGGCTTCCTGAAAGTGTTGAGCTTGATCGATTGGACGGCGGAGGATACACAATACATTTTCCGAAACGACCACCAAATGGGCCCTGATAGTAAATGTTCCCCGGAGGATCATAGGAGCAAACAAATAGGTGACCTTCATTATTATTGCATAAAGCATGGGCGCAGCCTACACCCTGAGTGGTATTCCATACAATCTGTGTATAATGCCCACAGACACTGTTGTTGACGCACTCATTTGTTAGTGGATCGTAATTCCGCACTTCATCACCCCAATATTTGACTACCTTGGAAGCATTCCAGTGATCTCTTAGACCCCAAAACAAGTTCTCCCCAAAAGGGCTATTGGGAGAGTGTTCCAGATTCTTGCAGTCATCAAGGCGCGTGTTGGCCCACCGGCGAGCATATCTAGCTAGCATTCTGTTCCAGGACAAGGACGTTAAGTTGTGCATTGCCCTGATCTTGTTGTGGGCAGCAAGGAATTCGGTAGGCCTTGACAATTGTCTTCGCCCGATTGAATCCCTCAAGTCGGATAACCTGGTAGAGTCAGCATGGCCAGGAAGGGATAAAAGGAGAATGGTTGCAAGAGTTGCAAATCTCCACATTGGTCCTGCGTGATGTTGTGTTGTATACCTCAGAATTATGAGAAGAGGAAGTTAGAAATATGGATTCAAGCTGGGCGATGAGCTAAATTCCCTCCCAGCAATGCAAAAGCAGCTGCAGGAGAGGGAAAGAATCGGTGTCTAAATTAGCTGCTTGCAGCTCTCTCCTGCCATCAATTCCATAATTAGGCATTGTCTGTGCAAACCACTCGATTTTTATCTTGGAGTGTGTGATTTTCAGAATAGTAAATTGACTGTTTCCAAATCTGATTTTGACCATTTCCTGCTTAACCTCTGCCATGATATTCAAAGTAACTAGACTGGTTAAATATAGCACTCCCATTTTAATGTTGCCGGAATATCATCCGGTTTTACACGCCGACTCAAACATGCACCGCCGGAAAACTAATACAACCGTGATCATATTTTCATGCCTTCGTTCTGTGGTACAATTGGATTTCCAATCCCTTCAAATACCACTGAAAACAGATATTTATGAATTATGATGGAGAAGAAAAATATAACCCACAGGTTACATTTGTTTTTTTTTTTTTAAATCCTTTTATATACATATATATTTCATGTTGTAATACGAGTCTACGATATTCTTTCATCTTGTGGTGTAAGCCTTTACCACATATTGCAAGCTGCTACAAAACTTTCACTAAATTAAACTCCAAGTGGGATTGAAATGTCTTTTTTTTTTGATTTACGTGAAGTCTATGATATTCTTTCATCTTGTGGTGTAAGCCTTTACCACATATTGCAAGCTGCTACAAAACTTTCACTAAATTAAACTCCAAGTGGGATTGAAATGTCATCGTTTCAACATGGATTCGTTTAAGAGGTGCTTGAAAAATATAAAATTTATTCATTTATTTTTTATTTTTGACATTAAATCTTGAAAATCATCAAATAACAAATATTAATTTTGTATTTTTTTCATATTAAACACGTTCAAAATCACAAGTTAGGACTCCCAAACACTATCTTTATTCTAATAATGGCACACGAGGAGCAAATGAAAAAAGAAGAAGAAGGGAATTGCTGAATAAAAAAAACTACAAACACGTCCTCTAATTATATAGGGATTTTTCGTCTGTAAAGAATCTTATTTATCTCAATCAGGTACCTAAATCTTAGAAGATTTTAATCCTATCCATGTCTTCCAGCCAAATAAGTTTTTTTTTTTAAATTGTTGTATAAAATGACATCAAGAATTTTTTAATAATTTGGAAATTCGATTAAGATTTAATCATGTTTATTTTTATATTTTAAAAATGTTTTTGAAAAAAATTATTTTTTTTATTTATTTCAAATTAATATATTTTTTTATATTTTAAAATTATTTTAATACATTAATATCAAAAATAATTTTTTTAAAAAATTATTAACATATATTTTAAAATAAAAAATTATTTAAAAAATAATTATAACTATATTTTCAAAAAAAAAAAAACTTTAAATATCCTTCTCTGTCATAATCCAATGGGCTATTTTACCACTCCTTTTTCTTGAATAAAACGAGAGAGAGAGGGAGAGAGAGATTTTCTGCCGCGTCCACATCCCACTAGCACAGCATGTTGAAATCCTTCGGCTGACGTAAGAGAGGAGAGAGATTTCTCTTGTGATCCATGCTGCGCCCCCAGTGTAATCTAGACACCACCCCCCGTACAGTATAGCCAGCACGAAGCGGTCAGCTCACGCAAACGGACCAAAATATTCTTATTTTTCATTTCTACCAGAAGCTAAGAAAACCGCCATGGCTAATTAATTACTCTCACAAACTCACACCATCTTCTAAAAACCCTGTCGATATTTAGAAGTGCGTACTGCGCACCCCCTCCACCACCCTCTCCTGAATCAATCAATTTATAACTCCATCGAATATCGAAAGCCATGTCGATTTGTTGCCATCTTCAGATTTCTAGGGTTTCTTCAGCTACTTTTCTTGTCTCTTTGATTTTCCTCATCTACTTTCCAGGTACGAAAAGAAGAAGAATCTCATCTTGTCAATCTGGAGTCTTACATTAAGATTGATTGGTGTGTGTTTGGTGACAGGAATTGTATTACCCGCTGTCGTGACATTGGATTCGATGAAAATATACCGAACACACGAGTGGTTAAATGTTGAACCAACAATATATTTCAGCTGTAAAGGAGAGAACCAAACAGCATTGCCTGATGTTAAACAAGTTAATGTCTCGTATACTTTTAAAGGCGAAGAATCATGGCAGGTAAGGTTTACATTTTTCTTTATTTTTAGTTTTTAATCATCATCATCATCTTATTCTTTGTATGCGTTTGAGTTGTTTGTAGCCTTTGACAGAGTTTACGAGCTTGAAATGCAAGAGATGTGGATTTTATGAGAAGGATGACTTCAAGTCTGATGATGTTTTTGATGAGTGGGAGTTTTGTCCGTCGGATTTTGCGGGTTCCGATGGGAAAAATGAGCGAATTATTCACGGGGAATTTGATGCTACGTTTTTGTGTCCACAATGCGTGCCATTAGCAGCTGGTGAGTGTTGTTGGTATTTCATAGTTCAAAACTTGTAACTATATTTTGTACATAATGTTTCAAGTTGTTGTTAGCTTCTAGCCTACGATGGATAACTCGTTTCCTTACTGGAATGTTGAAGTTTGGAGTTTGAGTGTCTGCCTATATAGAGCTAAAAGATGCCATTTTGCATCAAAGTTTAAAAAAATATTTGGAATGCTATTTTGTGAGGTCATTGAATTGTGTTTGTATGTGCATCTGTCAAAAAGAAAAAAAATGTGAGTAATTTGGAGATGTGTCGCTTCGTGGATCACTAGGAAATGTTGCTTTTGAAAATTAACAAACTTAGTGATGTTGGGGAAGGTGTAACTCTGGTTTGGCTCTGTGGTTGATGACCAACTGGTTATTTTTTCAGATGTTTAGATGCTACTATACCTGTATGATATACTTTTAGCAAGTGGGTCTATGAATTATGCCATCAATAGGTAAATGAACTTTTAGTCAGAAACAAGGTGGGGGTTGGGGGCTTAGATAATCAAGGGACTTTGATTCATGTTAGGCTGTACAACAAGAGTCATGAGGTGGGATTTTTGCTGTCAGAAGAGTGATTGTGTACTTGTTTCAGCTTGCATGTTGCTGCTACACTAATTCTGCTTTTGTAGTCATCACAGACCTTTAGATGCTGTCGGTACTTCAATTATACTTTCTAGCTTGTTTGTGTGTGAATTTTCCATCTAATTACTAAGGTGACCAACCTTGCCAGCTATTGTAAAAACAAGGGACCTGCCTTATGCGTGTTATGTTAGTTATATGTGTTATATGATCATGTATTTTCTGCGTATCTATGTTTCAAGTGTTTTAAAAAGCTTCTTGCCTATGATAGTTTAGTGGAATGTGGTTTGAATTGGTTCTTATAGAAATGTAATTATGAAGGTGAAGATGCTGTTATGCATCAAAGAATATTGCTTTAATGGATGGCTAGGAAGTAAGAACTGCTGTTTTAGATAATTTAGGAACTTAAGCAGCTGTAGTGAAGTAAGAACTTAACTCTGGTTTTGCTGGACCACTTTGATTGATGAGCTGCAATATGTGTGGAACTTTGATTGTTGCTGCTATGTGAACTCGTGATTTTTTTCAGATATTTAGATTGTACTGATAAATTTATGATACTTAAGGCAAGTTGGCGTGTGAATTCTTCTGCTGATTGAATAGGTAAATGAACTAATGAAAAAAGAGGAGGAAGAGAAGGGGGGGTGTTAGGTTTGCATGTTGCTGCAACAATAAACTGCATTCATGTTCATTTCAGCCCTCTAGATGCTACTGGTACTTAAATAGCACTTTTTAGCTAGTTGGCCTGTGGCTAAAATTTTTACCTTCAGGGTATTCTTTTGATAGGGTAAAAGGTTGTAGTCGAAAGGGAAATGGGATCTTTATTTGAATACTATCTGTTAACCAGTTTTTCGAAAATTCTGTTTCTGATAATTGAACTCCATTAGCATGCATTTCTCAATTCCAATCCTTTAAATCCTCGGAGAAATTTGAAATAATAGCATATGAATGATATTTTTAGCTATTATTAAAGAAGGCAATAGAATATATTTTTGAAGAATAGACTGAATTACTAAAACACAACCTCCTATTGCTTGAGCAAATATAATGCTATCCCAGGTTTTGGCTATTTTTATACGGACCTTTTCTTCTCTTTTGTCTTCTTCTTGGCTGTTTTTGATCTCTTCTTTTTCTTTTTTGTCACTTCGTTTGTTTTTTCATCTGTATAAGTAGAATCTGAAATTGTGAATTTTGTGTTTTTACACATCCAATTTATAAACATTATTTTCATCAGCTGAGAAGTATCAAAAGCCAAACAAAAAAAAAGAAAGAAATTTGTCTATTCTGTCCAAAAAAAGGGGAGAATGCAAATTTGTTTGAGACAAGGGACATGCCTTGCGGATGTTTTATTAATCCATCTGTGTGTGATCTGCATGTCCCTCTGCCTGTTGATGTTTCAGTGCAAGCAGCTCATTTGTTCAAAAGTATACTCATGATTCTGTTTTCCATTTGTCAGTAGATTCCAACTCTGCCTCAAAACCCCACAAAAAAGGGAACGAAACGCATCTTGCTGTGGTCATATTGATCAGTGCTCTGGTTTCAACTGTGTTTGTTCTTGGAGTAGCAGCAGCATACAAGTACTGGCAAAAGAAGAAGAGGGAGCAAGATCAAGCTCGGTTTCTGAAGCTGTTTGAAGATGGGGATGATATAGAGGATGAATTGGGGCTTGGCTCTGTACTGTGATCAATTTTATTAGCTTGACCATCATCTGTATAGCTCACTGATCATCCATAATATTTTACTCCGTCAAAAGAGAGAAGTTTACTCTTTACGTCCTCTTTCTCTGTGATTATTGACTTGTTAACATTAACACTTGCGATACACATGTAATTTAGGCCGGTCAAGAAGACAAGATTCATTGTCTTAATTCCCAGCCTAGTAAGATTTTTTTTTTTTTTTAATTCCCCATATGAGACTATTCAAGCATACATATTGTGAAAATCAAACCGAAGGCTTTCGGTTTGAGAAGAATTGCTCGGGCTGCATTCCTGTTGAAGGATAATGATCAGAAACTGCATTCCTGGTGAAGGATAATGAACAGAAACATCTGTGGCAGATCAAAAGGAAGTTTAATCCTGTTTTCATGCTTAGACCG